CTGGAAATGCTCCCTTCTACAGAAGTTCCAGCTCCTGCAGCCTAGCTCCGTCCTCATACAGCCTACCTTCTTCAAGGTCTTGCCTACCAAGAGGCAAGGAGGAAGGACCTGTGCAACCAGCTCACCCCAGACAAAGTGAACAAACCAGGAGTCCAGCTGGCAAATGAGTCCGCTTTGATTCCTTATGAATGAGTTCCCCCTAGGTGAAAAAATTAAAAAGTAGTTTCTGAATTTGCAAGTTGAGAACTCAGCCTTGGATTCTTGGTGACCCCAAGTACAGGAGGCCTGAAAGGCCCCGTCTGACAGTATTTACTAGGTAACTCCATCTCCTGTACCTATCTTTTAACTCCAGTTAAGAAGCTATCATGTAACCCCCTCACTGAAAAAATGTGGAAAGTGAGGTCCAGAGAGGTTTAGTCACTTATCCAACATCACATAGTAATTTTTAAGGGCCAGTCCCTGAACTATCATCCTAAAATTCATTAGGTGTGTGATCCTTTCAAAAATGCTCTACTGGCCAGCATCTTCAGAGATGAGTAATGGAGCGAGTCATAAAAACATACTTTTAAATTAAATTTTATTTTTTAAAAATTTTCTGTACATTGTGCTTTAATTACCATCTCCGGCCCCAAGAGTAGAAGGGCTAAAGAAAGAATGAGCATTCCGTCTAAAGACTTAACACTGACTACCTGAGCCTTCAACAATTTCTGGTATTAATATTACATGGCACTGCACCCAAGAAATTCACAGATGCTTTTAACGAGTGTTCCTATATAGATAGCAGTGCCTTTATTTCTAGATTGAATTTTCAGGCATGACTGGAAAACTTAGACCCAGTTTTCAGCCTCCAAGAAAAATGAGTTCCTTTTGCTGCTAGTCCTCATCTGTCTTTTTTTTTTTTTTTGAGATGAGGTTTCACTCGTCGCCCAGGCTGGAGTGGGATCATGGGTTATTAGCTCACTGCAACCTCTGCCTCCCCAGTTCAAGCGATTCTACTGCCTCAGCTTCCTGAGTAGCTGGGATTACAGGTATGCACCACCATGACTGGCTAATTTTTGTATTTTTAGTAGAAACAGGGTTTCACTATGTTAGCCAGGCTAGTCTCGAACTCCTGACCTCAAGTGATCCGCCAGCCTAGGCCTTCCAAAGTGCTGGGATTACAGGCATTAGCCACTGTGCCTGGGCTATTCTTTAACAAACAAATATAAAAAGTCAGTGACTGTCCCCGGTCTCTCACTGTACAATTTCACTCTCTACACTGTTCCGGTTTCCCCTTTGCTTCCACGTGGGTTTCCTGCTCTGACCATTTCTTTCATATGGTTTCCCTCATACCTCTGAGACTTTTGTGCTATTTCTGGGCTTTATTGCTGCATTGTGACTTGTATATTCTTCATTCTACTGCCTGTTCCTTTGGGAGCAGCTGAAAAAGCAAACCTTGGCCCTCATGTTGTTGGTAGAGATTACACTTCATATTTGTAATAATTATACGTGTACGTTTTGAGAGATTTCCCCACCGTTTTTAAGATTGAACATTAGAAGTGATTTACTGTCAACCAAAGTCAAATATAAGCTGGTTTTCACATGGTTTTGTTATTTCATCTTTCCAAGCAAAGTACAGCTTTATACACTCATGCTTTTTGATAAGCAAAATTCAGAAGTATGTTTGTGTCTAACAGTTTTTACAAGAATCCTACAAGATCCTTTTAAACTGTCATTAAAAGCAAGGAGAGGTCCAGAGGGCTTTGAGATTGCAGTTTGTCTGAAGCATTTGACTTTCATTCAAATTGGCAGTCTCTTTTCCAAAAAGAGCATTATTCTCTCATCTTTAAAGTATGCTGGGTTTAGTCAGTTTGGATACTAAGCAAGTTATCAGGAGAGTTCTTAAACATTAAGAAGAGAAAGCCATGCCATCTTGCTCAATCCAGGGCCATAGCCTCCAGTGGTGTTGGTGAATAATAGTATGGTGTCCCTTCATTTTAATCTATTCCTGCCTGTGTTGACACTCATAAATTATAAGGACAACCAGATGAAAAGGGGAAAACTCAAGTAGAGGTACCAAAGTCTTTTGCCTGTATAATGCTAGAGGGAAACAAAGTTTGAAGCGTTTTGCTGTGTGGTAAATATTACTCTCTCCAGAGAACATGACTATAACTTCTCTGCAACCTGGAAAATGCACTCCCTGCCCCCTCTGCCCCACCCCCACCACCCACTAGGAGAGAATAAAGCGAACTGTCTGGGAAATGGCTTAAATGCAGGCACAAAGTAGGTTTTCAGAAGCGGCTATGAGTTGAGCCTGTTTTTATATGGATCTAAAAATCTCCCAGTTCAGTCTGTTATTGAAGGATTGCTATTGCGTTTGCAAAGCATCCCTGACTTTTACATCTTCTTATTGGTTTTTCTTTGGGTATCAAATTCTCACATTTGAAGGAATGTATTTTTTAAATAAAGCAGGGCACAGCAGCCCTCAGTAGAAGGGAAAATGGTCTTCCAACTGCCTCTAAGCCATTTCCATGAGAATATCTTGACTCATAAGTGGTTCCCCAATTTCCATATAGGAGAGGCTAGTTGGTAGGATGTTTGAAGCTGTGGTTACATATGATCAGAAAAATATCACTTGTCCATATCAAAGGAGAGGAAGTTATGAAAGTCCTAAACCTATTAATACATCCTTTAGCACTGCCCAAACCCAGACTTCACTTCAAATTAAGGACATTAAAAATGGAGATCGCTGGGAGCGGTGGCTTACATCTGTAAACCCAGCACTTTGGGAGGCCAAGGTGAGTGGATCACGAGGTCAGGAGTTCGAGACCAGCCTGACCAACATAGTGAAACCCCCATATCTACTAAAAATACAAAAAATTAGCTGGGCATGGTGCCGCTAGCCTGTAATCCCAGCTACTTGGGAGGCTGAGGCAGGAGAATCACTTCAACCCAGGAGGCATACGTTGCAGTGAGGCGAGATCATGCCATTGCACTCCAGCCTGAGTGACAGAGTAAGACTGTCTCAGAAAAAAAAAAAAAAAAATGGAGCTCATATTTTTCTCCTAAAAATCAGCTCCTTGGCTCCCCTTCCCAACGTCTTCACCTATTTAAGGCAGTATTTTCCTCATCAGGTTAGAAACATCTTTGTTCTCCTACTTAGCTTTCTCCTTCCCAATACCCAATTAATCATCAAATTCTATCATTTTTTTTTTTCTCCTTCATAATGTCTTGGAAATTCTCCTCCATTCTTTATATTCCAGCAAAACAGAAACAGGAGATAATCCAGCTCTCCAGTCTGGATTAGATTAGAAACACACCACTCACAAGTGAAAAAACTTTCATAGGAATTGTAAGAATACCAAAACAGGCCAGGTGTTGTGGCTCACGCCTACAATCTCATCACTTTGGGAGGTGGAAGTGGGCGCATCACGAGGTCAGGCGTTTGAGACCAGCCTGGTCAATATGGTGAAACCTGTTTCTACCAAAAATACAAAAATGAGCCAGGCATGGTGGCAGGCGCCTGTTGTCCCAGCTACCGGGGAGGCTGAGGCAGGAGAATCTCTTGAACCTGGGAGGCAGAGGTTGCAGTGAGCTGAAATTGCGCCACTGCACTCCAACCTGAGCAACAGGGCCAGAATCTGTCTCAAAACAAAACAAAACAAAAAAACCCAAAAACAATGCAAAATAACAGCTCCAAAGAAGGCTTGCATACACATCTCCAGGCAATGGCTGGCACTGCATTTGTCCTGTAGCAGTCTAGAGCAGTGAGGGTCTTTCTGCTGTTCAGGAGCTGTGGTGAGGCCTTTCAGGTCCAGCTTAAGCCATTCTGATTCCAGCCACCACCCCATCTTACATCGGGAAGCGGTTCCCTTCCAGATCAACTCATCTCCACCCACAGAACAGTGCTTATGTATTCGGTCTAAACTAGTTAGCACAATTTATCAAGAGTATTCCATCGTAATTTTAAAATGTCATGTTTATATTTTACCTCCACCTGGACAGAAGCTCGTTCTTTTGTAGTCTTACTGCCCCTCCCCCTCCCCCTTCCCATAGCAACCAGCACAGGATTCCGCCGTGTGTAGTCTATAAATAAATGTTAAATCATAGAGCCTTAGAATTTTGGAGTCATACGGGGATCTTCAGCGTTGCATTTGTCCAATCCTTTATAGATGGGGAAACAGGTCTAGAGAAATAGGTGACTTGCTCAAAGCCACACAGCTGGCTATTGACAAGGCAAGGAGCAGAGCTGAGGTTTCTCCTGCCTGAAGTCTGTACCCTAAATTGTTCTTAGATAATCAGTGACAGAGACACCTGAGTTTACACAATCTCTCCTGGGGCTGATGGTGATAGGAAAAACTGGCTTTCCTGAAACATGTAAAAAGATTCGGTCCACGCCCCTAGCAGACCTTCACGAGGACTAACTCCTCAGCTCGGCGCCCAACAGAGTCCCAAGTTCCGCCCGCACTTGTTTATGCGTCTGTCCTCCGAAAGGACAGCGCACCGGAGGGCCCCACGCGCAGGGGCTCCCCTGCGGCCCCTCCCCCGTCACCGAGCTGTCACACAGCCGCCGCGCGGCCCGCCCCCACGTGGACTAGGCTCGGAGGATCAAAGTCTGTTTGCAGCCCAGCCCCCGCAGGTGTGCTGGAGTCTGCGAGGGTCCGCAGCGCTAGAGCCGTGACTCCGCCACGCCCGAGGGGACCGGGCCCGCCCCTCCCCCTCCCCTTCCCGCTGCACGCGGCCCGCGCCCCCAAGACGCCAGCCGCTGCACCCGGCCACGGCCCCCCGGCCCACGCCCGGCTACGGGAGAGAAGGGCCCCGCCCCCATCTGTTGGAGCCGCAACCCCGCCCTCTTCCCGCCCCTCCTAGGTTCCATCCAATAGCGAGCGTGGCTGGGCGGGACGCCAACGCTGTCGTGAGGGGGCTCTGGCCAATGGAGAATCGAGCCGGGCCTGGTGGGCGGGGCTTCAGGGCCTTGTCACGCTCGGGTCCGTGTGAAAACGGGGGTTCCGAGTGCAAAGCAAAGTTTTTTTGTAAACCGTCTGCAAAGGCGGGGGGGGCGAAGAAGGCGCCCGAGACCGGGCCGAGTGCAGTGGCCGCCGCCTCCCTAGCTCCTCAGCCACCGCTCCTCAGTCAAGCGGCCGCGGAGGAGACCAGCAAGGAGAGTCCTCAGATGCTCGGAGCGTTCTCCGCTCGAAGCTGCCGGTCGCCCTCGCCCGCCCGCCTCCTGCTTCTGCTCCAGCTCCGGCTCTTGGTACCCCGACTCCGGGAGTCCCGCTCCCCGCCGCCGCCGTCGCCCGGGTGTGGGTGTGAGGGCTGCCGGGGCTGAGCCGGGCCTCGGCGCCGGCTCTGAGGACCGACGCCGGAGGAGCTGCGGAGCGCGGCGCCGCCGGCTGGCGGAGGACTCCCACAGGCGCGGGGCTCGGCGGCTGGCCCCGGGCTCGACCCCGTGCGGCCGCGGGGGCACCTCAGCGGTTTCCCGAGCGGCCCGACTCGGGCGCTCCTCGGTGTCGCGGTCGCCGACCCTCCGCGCCCGGCCGGCGCCGCCGCCGCATCAGCCTCCGGGCCGGGCTCGGCGGGCCCCGCAGCCGCAGCCATGGGGTGCTGGGGTCGGAACCGGGGCCGGCTGCTGTGCATGCTGGCGCTGACCTTCATGTTCATGGTGCTGGAGGTGGTGGTGAGCCGGGTGACCTCGTCCCTGGCGATGCTCTCCGACTCCTTCCACATGCTGTCGGACGTGCTGGCGCTGGTGGTGGCGCTGGTGGCCGAGCGCTTCGCCCGGCGGACCCACGCCACCCAGAAGAACACGTTCGGCTGGATCCGGGCCGAGGTGATGGGGGCTCTTGTGAACGCCATCTTCCTGACCGGCCTCTGTTTCGCCATCCTGCTGGAGGCCATCGAGCGCTTCATCGAGCCGTACGAGATGCAGCAGCCGCTGGTGGTCCTCGGGGTCGGCGTGGCCGGGCTGTTGGTCAACGTGCTGGGGCTCTGTCTCTTCCACCATCACAGCGGCTTCAGCCAGGACTCCGGCCACGGCCACTCGCACGGAGGCCACGGCCACGGCCACGGCCTCCCCAAGGGGCCCCGCAGTAAGAGCGGCCGCCCCGGGAGCAGCGACATCAACGTGGTCCCGGGCGAGCAGGGGCCGGACCAGGAGGAGACCAACACTCTTGTGGCCAATACCAGCAACTCCAACGGGCTGAAGCTAGACCCCGCAGGTAAGCCGGGAAAGTCGCCGCCGCAGGTGGTTGGGTTTGGGGAGCCCAGAGTCTCGCCTGGCCCTCGGCGGGGTGGCCCGCACGCCCCCTGCTGCCCGAGCTGGCCCGCGCCGCGCCGCCCCTGCCCGCTCCCTCCCGGTCTTGCACACGCCCCACCGCTCCAGGAAATCATAACCCCCTCAGCCGGGTGCAAGGAGTCGGGGACGTGTCTGGCATATTTGTAGGTGGGGACTATGGGTCTGACCCTGGGAAAAGGGTCAGGAGGTGACCATCAGCCTGCTGCAGTCCACACCCGCACAGGCTGCACCAACTTTGCTGGAGACTTGTTTTGGTTATAGCAGGATCAGAAATGCTTCCCAAATCAGTTCCTTGGTCCTCTTGGGAAACGGAGAGAATCCCTAATTCGTCCTCAGTTGCTGGGTGTTGGAAACCTTGCTCTGCCAAAGTAGTTCTTATGCCCATTGAACACGTTTCATGTAAACCCAGCTTAAAGGTTTCTTTTATGAACAGCAGTGTATGCTTCAGCTAATTGATTCCTAATCCTGGAAATCATAAATTTAGGACCTGTCTGGGCATGTTTAACATTTTCCTAGGACTTTTCATAATCGTGCGGTACTAAAAGTGATGACAATTTATTCATCTTATGAATAAATTATGGATGCTTTTCATATTTAACATTAAGTGCTCTTGAAGGAAAATAAGTGTTGAAAGAAGGTAGGTAGAAATGACTCAACCAATGTCCTACTACCCAACCAAGCTCAATGGTGCTTAACAATTTGGTCTCATTTCCTTAACTTAGGTTTAGTTACTTTGTGTCATTATAAATTATTATTATGCTACTTTTCCTTTTCGAGTGCAGAATCTCAAGTTAGTGAAATTCAAGTTGTATATTGGAAAAGTTTAATAAGTAACTAGTTTTCCTCACTCCACTCGGCAAGGTGTTATTCCACAGAAAATTAAGTTACTTTGTTGTGTAATTTCTTGATAAGATCAATACTTTTGATTTAAAAGTTAGGAGGGCATGTAGTCATCGTTTAGTTCCAGCTTTTCTAATAATCTCTGTGGTTATTGATTTATATTGTTGATTTGTCAGTTTTTAAAGCCCCTCTACCAAGAAACTTTTATATTCATAGTAACAGTTTAAAAGTTAAAATTGGTTTTATTCTCAAGCAATTGGCCTCAGTGACAAAGAGTGACTAGAGAGTGCCTGAGTGTCATATCAGGTATTCTGTATTAGTAGACTTATTCCTAGCTGCGTTTAATTTTGGTGTTAGCGTTCAATTTTATGTTTTCCTTTGTATATGCCCAGAAGTATAGCAGAATGTTTGCAGGACTCCACCCCCATGGAAAAGATACACTATTTTGGAGAAGGGGGGAGGAAGAAGAGTGGTTAGGAGAGTAACGAAGCAATATCACAATGACTTAATTTAGTCTTGGCCATTATGTCCTGGCTTGTTCCCAGAATGTCAATTTATATTAAATTGCTCTGAGCACATTTTTTTAATTGCACTTTGTGAAAAAATTTTCACTTTCATCAGCACTTAAAAAGAATTAGATGAGGATGTTTATATAAACACTAAGTGTATTTGATGTAAAATTTTTATTTTTTCGTAGACCCAGAAAAACCCAGAAGTGGTGATACAGTGGAAGTACAAGTGAATGGAAATCTTATCAGAGAACCTGACCATATGGAACTGGAAGAAGATAGGGCTGGACAACTTAACATGCGTGGAGTTTTTCTGCATGTCCTTGGAGATGCCTTGGGTTCAGTGATTGTAGTAGTAAATGCCTTAGTCTTTTACTTTTCTTGGAAAGGTTGTTCTGAAGGGGATTTTTGTGTGAACCCATGTTTCCCTGACCCCTGCAAAGCATTTGTAAAAATAATTAATAGTACTCATGCATCAGTTTATGAGGCTGGTCCTTGCTGGGTACTATATTTAGATCCAACTCTTTGTATTGTAATGGTTTGTATACTTCTTTACACAACCTATCCATTACTTAAGGAATCTGCTCTTATTCTTCTACAAACTGTTCCTAAACAAATTGATATCAGAAATTTGATAAAAGAACTTCGAAATGTTGAAGGAGTTGAGGAAGTTCATGAATTACATGTTTGGCAACTTGCTGGAAGCAGAATCATTGCCACTGCTCACATAAAATGTGAAGATCCAACATCATACATGCAGGTGGCTAAAATCATTAAAGACGTTTTTCATAATCACGGAATTCACGCTACTACCATTCAGCCTGAATTTGCTAGTGTAGGCTCTAAATCAGGTGTACGTCCATGTGAACTTGCCTGCAGAACTCAGTGTGCTTTGAAGCAATGTTGTGGGACACTGCCACAGGCCCATTCTGGAAAGGATGCAGAAAAGACCCCAGCAGTTAGCATTTCTTGTTTAGAACTTAGTAACAATCTAGAGAAGAAGCCCAGGAGGACTAAAGTTGAAAACAGCCCTTCTGTCATGATAGAGATTAAAAACATGCCGGACAAACAACCTGAATCATCTTTGTGAGTCTTGGAAAAAGATGTGATATTTGACTTTTGCTTTAAACTGCAAGAGGAAAGACTCCATTGAAATTCTAAGTTTGCCAAGTAGTATAATTGAAGTCCTTGTCTGGTCACACAGTTTAATTCTATTTTTGTAAGAACATAATGGGACTGCATAACAGAGTTCTATATTACAACTTTGTGATTATTAGTACAGAGTACAGCTATGCTGTGACTGTTTTGGAAAGCCAGTTTTAACACTATGTTACATTTTTGTTTTAAGTATAAACCTTATATAACATGACATTTGATTTCTGGATTTTCCCATGATAAAAATTAGGGGGATAAATAAAATTGTTACTGGAATTTCTCTGCTTTTCTTTTCCCCCACTGTTACACTTTATTAGAATTTATAGTTGATAGAATTTTAAAATCATCAACAGTTTCCTTTGACATTTTAGGTAATATTGCCCTTTGAGATCATTACATAGTATAATGACAACATATTTTAAGAGTGACTCATGGCTATTAGTAGGAAGTAATATCAGTTACTATCTTGTATTCTGTGTTGCTATTAACCACTAAGATAATTAACAAATTGAACTATAGTTTACAGACAATAGGGCAAATGCGGTAGTAAGAGCAGGGAAGAAAGTTTACCAAACTAAATATTTAGGTTGTTGTATGTTGATATTCAGACTACATTTCTAAATTATTTTGAGAATTTCAGCTTTTTATTCTACCAAAGTTTATCTAAAAGATAGACATGTTCACCAGCATTACTTTCTTTGTAAGATTGGTATAAAAACATTGAGCTGCAAGTTTACTCACAAAATATGTAAGTATTTTTAAAGATGTTGACAACTAATAATTACATGCTAAATGCAAGCTATTAATGTAATCTTTTAAACTGGATGTTTGAAAAAAAAATTCCAAAGTCATTTCATGATGACCAATTGTGAATGGGTTTAAATGGAGCTTTTTGAGCCCAACCAGCAATGCTTGTGCTTTCTAAGAGCCACTGACTTGAGAGACAAGAAAACCAGAAGGTTAATGCAGTTTGGATATTAAATTCTTAGAAAGCAAAATTAATAATTAAAGCAAAATTAATTAAGATTCTGTAAGTCATCCTGTCTTCACATATTCAGTTCTTCCAATAGTGGCTTATTTTGCAAGATGCCACAATATCTACACAGAAAATTGTTTGTAGCTATTTCATTATTGCTATAGATTTCAAATCAAACACAATTAGAGTGTTTAAGTTCTATTTTTCTTGATAGAGGGGTATGCTTTGTGATGAAATTTTTGTCCTTGAAAGGATGAATATTAGTGTCAGTTATGTATAAATCTATTTTTCTAGAAACAAGGTATTCTGACTAATTTTTATAGCTGACTACTTTTGGGATGGCTACGTTTTGGGATTTAAAATAGTTCATTGTTTAATGGGTTGTAAGAGGAAAGTGTTAGGATTTGACAGTTACTTTTTAAAGGAATGATCTTTTGTGGTGTGTGTTTTTCCTAGTGTAAGCCTATTGCTGGCAATGGGCCTATTTAAGAACAGCTGATTTTTTCCAATGAAAATATGGTAATTTTAGGAACACAGTTTGTAAGTTCACATTTAGTATAATGGGCCAAAACCATAATCTGCCAGTTTGCAATACATCTTGATCTTTTAATACTCTTATCTGATATTGTAATTCAATTCCTAAACTGAGAGTTCCCATACATTTTGCAAAAATGTTGGTTTTTTTTTTTTTTTTTTTTTTTTTTTTTTTTTTTTTTTACATGAAATTGAGGGATCTCATATGGGTGAACAAGAGAGAAAGCTATGAATTGTACTGTATTATGTACATTCCTGATTTAATACTTTATGGAACATTTTATTCAGATAACTGATAAAATATATTACATTCAATGAGGTTTTCTTTACAAATGCTGTACTTGAGGTCTATGTCTTAAAGATGGTGTAACACTTAAGTACAAGACATCAACTGGATGAGGATTTTTAAAAATGGTGTGTAAGCATGGGACAAGGGCTATGTTTGTTTTTCAAAAGTGCTTTGAAGATAACAGCCTTTAGGTTTTAGTTATTTCACTTCATAATTTTTAAGTAGCTTATATATAACGGTGGTACCATAGGATTTTCTTTTTTCAAATGACTGTCCGCAAAATCAGTGGGCACTGACTCACCTTTTGAGTTTTAGCAGAGAATTATTTATTTCTTTACAATGCACTTTCTAACCCATTTTAGCTATATTAGTATTATCTTTAAAAAAAAAAAAAAGACTTGCTTTTGTATTTAAATATTGTAGGATTTAAGTGTCTTTCCCAAAATAGCTTATTCCTTTCTGAAAGAAAATAAGGGAAATACTCTTAATTATTAGGAGACTTAAACCCAATATTTAAATATGCTGTTTTATAACACTGCATCAGTTTTAGGAGTTGCATCTCTCCTGCTGGCTCTTTTATATTTGAGCAAGATCAGTGTAGAATATGTGTTTAGAAACTTATCTGTTGTCTCAGTTTAGTAAAAAGGTGCTGCATGTGCCTGAATTAAAACCAAGAAATTTTTCCAAGCCAAATGCAGCCTTAGTGATGAGAGATTTAATTCTCCATTGTCACCTTTTAGCTTTTATGGTTGCTTAGTTTTTTTTGAAGGATATCTGCATTGTAAAACTATAGGCCAGAATCTATAAAACAGAATCCTCAGAAACTTTGCCGTATGTGTTTTAACATTTTAGAAAACAGTATGTTGAATAACTAAGGTATGTAATTTGAATAGTAAAAATTTCCATCAAGTACACCTTGGGAAATCACAGTAGGTAGAAGGCGTTAACATGTTTGTGTCTTATTAATATCCTTAGTTAAATTTGAATTTTTGACAGTTTTGAGGAAAAAGACCTATGGAACCTAATGTGAAGTATTTTGTATGTTAACTGGTGTTGAGTTGAAGATTTTTACTGTGTATAAGCAGATAACATTTGAATGATAAAAATGTCATTAACCTGCTGTCTTAAGATGTTCACACAAATATGGAGAGTTATTCTACAATATAAAAATATTTATTTTAATACTGAGTTTCAGTTAAGTCATAAACAGTGTTAAAACTCTTGGGAAGGTGTAGGGATTTTTTGTTTGTCGTTTTTTAAAATTAAAACTGTGTCATACAGTGTTTCATGTCTCTGAAATTGGGATTATAATAGCACTATTTTGATGTAGCTCTACCGATATTATGTGGTAATGCTATTTTGTTTTACTAACAAGCTCTGGAATATTTAGCAGTCATTTTCACTGGCACAAGAGCCTTTTGTATGTTATTCAATTTAAACTTTTAAACCAAAAATTTTATGGACCAGTGTCTTTGGTAAAAAGATGCTGGAGGGAATGTAACATACAATTAATATGTGGATATATATATATATATATATATATATATATATATATGACACAAATTGCCATGTTATGGTTCTGCCTTGAAACAGCACAATGAAGTGTATCAGTATATTCTGTGATTATGAAACTTCCATGTTGTGTTTGTTGTTTTGTGTCTGCTGTTGCCTGTCCTTTGGGCCAGATGTGGTGCAGTTAAATGCAGTTATCATCTCATTAAATACAGATACAGATAAAATATCTTTAGTGCTGCAACATTTTACCTAACTTTTCGTATGTTTTAATGACTGTGTGTTATTTTCCAAAGCTGTTCCTACCTCACCATGAGGCTTTATGGATTGTTATGTATTATAAATGTTCTATATGAGACAGACTACTGTGTTTCTTCTCATTTATTGAAAGTTAAGTAGAAAAATAAACTAATTTTAGTATCTGTTTCATTTGTGCATGTGGCCTCCCCTCCTATACTAGGCTTAGTTATATAGAGAGTTAGATTTCAGATATTGAAAGAAATTGCAGTTTAACACAAATGTTGCAAGTGTACAGAGTGACTAGGTTACAAGCTAGTGTGGAAGAAAATGTGGGCTAAAATGGCAATAAAAATGAAAGGGTAACACAAAGGCTCACTGATAGAAAATACTCAGTGGTTTTGACTTTTATTATAAGCATTAAGCTTATAGATGATATAGTTGTGGTTAACCTGCTGCTTTTCGCACTTGCTATTTTTTATAAGCATAGTTACTAATAAGGATTAAATATTTTACACCTGTAAATCATCTAAAATTCTTAACCCAATAATAGTACATTATTGTGGTTCTATGAGCTGCAGGACTATCAGAAATGTAATCTCATAAAAATTAGTTAAACAATTTGTATTTTGAGCTGTGAGACAACAGTTGAAAAAATCAATTGGCAATAAATGGCAGTAAAGGAACTGATCTATATACAGTAGATATTCCAAAGAGGAGGTTAAAAAAAAAAATGTAAAGGATTATGTAGGTTAAAGTGGAAAGGAATAGGGTTTGAGAGGCAAGGGAGCAGGAATAGTGGTATAAAGAGTTGGGGACCTGGGTGAGGTGGCCCTATAATCCCAGCACATTGGAAGGCTGAAGTGGGCCTTTATTTCTCAGAATTGACCACCATTTTACCCCCTCACTTGTCTATTCAGCCTTTTTCGTTGTTAGAGAGTCTCGCTCTGTAGGCTGGAGCGCAATGGTGCCATCTTGGCTCACTGCGACCCCTGCCTTCCAGGTTCAAGTGATTCTCATGCCTCAGCCTCCCAAGTAGCTGGGACTACAGGTTCGCGCCGTGATGCCTGGCTAATTTTTTGTATTTTTAGTAGAGATAGGGTTTCATCATGATGGCCAGGCTGGTCTCGAACTCCTGATCTCAAGTGATTCACCTGTCTTGGCTTCCCAAAGTGCTAGGATTACAGGCATGAGCCACCACACCCAGCTCAGCCCTTTTTTTCTTTTAAAGCAAATAATCTGTGGCACTTTGCTCTTATTTAAAAACCAGTTTCACTTCTAGATTATAAACTCTATTCAGTCAAGGCTATGTCTTTCTATCTTTATTTTCTGAGGATATAGCACAGGGACCAGCACATTGTAGATATTCAGAGGTGTTTGGAATATTGAGGAATGGCGGGAATGGAAAAAGATATATAGTAGTTACATACTATTAATAGATAAGATATACTGAGTACTAACAGTTTTTTTATTTTTTGGATACAGGGTCTGTCACCCAGGTTGGAGTGCAGTGGTAGGATCTTGGCTCACTGCATCCGCTGCCTCCTCAGTTCAAGTGATCCTCCCACCTAAGCCTACTGAACAGCTGGGACTACAGGCGCCTGCCACCACACCTGGCTAGTTTTTGTATTTTTTGTAGAGATGTGGTTTCATAAATACACTGGGGACTTCTGATCTCTTATTACTGAGCACTTATTACATGTCAGGCACATACGTTTTCATTTATCC